CACCTTATTCTATCACGAAAAAAGGCCCGATATTCATTCACCAGGTAACCTTGCCTCTAACCGTCTTCTAAAAAAAAAAAAAAAATACGCATCATAGCAGGCGAATATCGTTTGGCCTTCCGCGTGAAAAACGATCACTGGTAAATTCAAGGACTGCGGAAGTGTTATTATCAGATGAAAACCGTACGTCGGTCCCCCGTATTTGTAACAGACATTCATGTGCTTCATCAGTATTCGATTCGTCAAGATCTGAATTCTGCTTGACAAGTTAATTTGTCTGACAAAAACCACGTTGTAAGTTCGAAAGCATGTACCATCGCCTTGGTTATTTTTCTTTCAACAAACAATCACAATGATAGCACTATACTGATTATGCATTGACAAAAGATTTTAGTCCGGCAAAATCAAATAGCGCCACAGGTTACCTTATACGTCCGTCTCGCTAGCTAATTGTTGCAAAACTACTAGTTACATGTCAACTATCTGCACAGCTACTTCTCTATGTTCATATGAATGGGACACCTATTATAGGAGTTTGACTCGAATAAGAAAACCCAGCTAAGTGATTTGGACCAAAAGAGGCTTAATCACCAGGTTTCGCCTAAATGGAGAACTATACCAGAACACAGTCAATCTATCTAGTCGCCCTTGACGTTATGCTTATTTCTAGCCCTTTGGGACGTCGACAGGTAATCCGATAGAATCTCCGTTCACAGTTAAAGAAAATAAGTGAGCATGGCAAAGGTGCAAAGCAGACTGCACGAGGCTAGCTACCTAGGTAAGCAGATAGGTGATACGTAAAGCAAGAATCCTAAGCTGTAACAATAGCCTGCCAGTGCTTTGCTTTCTATCTTTCATTGCAGTAGTCTCTGTCTGTTCAGAGCTAGTCCCCAGAAGCCCGCTGTCACTTACCGACGATAACCTCATAATAGCCACTTTGCCCTTAGCACAGTTACCGGCTATATGAAACGATGACGACGACGACGACTAGCAATAACTAAGTAGCGGCAAACGTGACTGGTAGGGATGAGAAGATCGGAAGTCTAAGAGAAAAACAGGAAAAAATCTAAAAAAGTTTTAGAGAGCCTCTTACGGTCTTCGTAGAAAATAAAGGCATGAAGGCAAATAAGGAGAGATGCTAGAATAAAACGCAGAAAGAGTGCGTTCCGTTGAGGAAGCGGTAAATAAGAGCGAAATAATAACGAAAAAACAGACACGTCTTTGTCGAAAAGGATGGTTTGATAAAATTTCTTTGGCCGGAAGCAACGCGTCAGCTGGAGCCGGATCAACGGAAAGACAACTCACAGCAGCGGGAATCACACTGTGGAATCCAACCCCGTCGGGGTCTTCGGAGGTCGTGGCTCGGCGGTTGCTAGCCGCGGCTTGCCTGTACCCGCCATGCCACCTGTATGATGAGTCAAATATAGTCTATTGGTTATTGATAGACGCATTAGCAGCAGTGGTACTAGCAGCAATGATATGAATAGTTCCTGCATGACAGAAGCAATCGTAGACGCGGCGGCAACAGCTAACTCTTATCGCAGTTATGGTGGGCACTGTAGTGGTTACAACTTCGGCTTCACCACAATGTAGGCAGAAGGCAGAGATTGCTGCAAAATTCTATTGGCTTACATCTGCCGTGGTGGGATTATACGGTCGTTTATCGTGACTAGAGTCGAACCAACGTTGGTAGCTGACGGAACGGCATCGTGGGTGTAAATACGCTTATAGTTGAAGCAAAGTCTTCGAAGCACACCTAACAGGTCGCGCGTCTGATTAATCCTGCTGGCAACAACTACTGAAACGAAGAGTCGTCTTGAATGCACTTCCCTACAAGATAGCGTGATGACAGTATCTCTGTAGAGTCATCGCCAAGGACAAACTATTCTTTCACCCGAAAAGATCGACAAAAATCCATCACGAAGGCGAGATCAATCATGGGTTAGCTGTTCGGTCTCGTTGCTCAGCCGGAGACGGTATCGGCACAAGTTGGAATGCTAATTCGTTCAAAATAGGATGACATCGCCATACTTACACCAACTGTACGTAAAAAAAAAACCATAAGAGAACGCAGACCGCTGTACGCAAATGCACCGTCCATAGCTCGGATAACCTACCGGAACGCTAGTTTGCTCGTAACTATCTTTGCTCAAAAAAAAACCACCTACTTTAGGGGACCGGAAATGACCCAGATTCGCAAATAGAATTCTGTCCACTAAATACTTCCGTAATACTGAAGATCAGTTTATGCCACAGCGTTCGTTCCGCAACCTGGTACTGTTTGATTACAAACGTGTACAACGCTTCATACCGACACCAAAAGACGGTGTCTCCGACGTCCGTAACAATACGGCCTTTCAATTACAGACACGAAAAATAATGAATGCGCTCTTGTCGTTCGGGTAAGCTTTCAAATTGATTGGAAACAGCTTTATTAAATAACAGTTAATATACGACCAAGATAGATTTTTGTTTAGATAGAAATCAATGTTATGTTCTACATAATACGCGTAATATATTCTACCAATTTTTAGCTCGTTGTTTACATTCAGCCCAAGTCTTACCAAGTGTGAATTAATTCAAGACCTATCTAAATGGAGGCTATTTTAAATGTACAGGTTCTCTCGCAATCCGAAACTCCGATCGGGAGCCGATTCCAAGATGTCTAGCGCTTTCCTTCCTACACTTTTCCTTTAGCTCCATAAGAGCTTAGGATAATCGAGCGAAAAGGTTTTTCACGACTCATCAGTACGATTCTAAGAACTGCGCAATCGATAGATCAACGCGCAAGTTTAGTGCGCAATTTTCCTCACTGAATTATAAGTTGATGTTGACTGAGTAGTCTTTACAAGTGAATGATTTATTTTTCTTTAACTTATATTACCTATAATTATAGTTGATTACAGATACAATGTCAAGTTTAGAAATATGTTAACGATTTTACGCAAGCAGCAAGCCAACTAGATATATGGAGACAACATGTACGTATAGACATCAAAAAGGTGAGAATTGCCCAGCTTATGCCATAACGAATTCCTATCCCGTTGATAGAGCATAAAGACGAAAAATTATATGTACCGTTAACTGTTTCATGATTAAACTATTTGCATTAATTACAGTGTTTCGAAATTCTTCGTTCTACGAAACGTTATCCTATAGTCATCGCCGTAATCAGCCTTTCCATTAAAGATCCCCGCGGCCGATGAGACACTCTAAAGGATCTATTCTGCCTGTCGACCAGCAATCGAATTCGAAATCAGTGACGCAATCCATTGCGTCAATTGTGAAGTTCGTACGTAGGTCTGGCGAATGAGCACGACCATCAGAGGACTTTTCTATAAAGTTGTTCTGGGGGCTTAATATTCATACCATGATTATAAAACAGATAAGTCGTAGAATCAGCTGATTAGTACGTTGGGCCAAATAGTGCTCGGTTGTATGTAACTTGTCGATTAAACAGCAGCTAACGGCAACGATAGACCTGCTCGCACATAGACCAGAGACATATAACCACAGACGAATTAGTTGACGTTGACCAAATCTGAAGGAGGAGCAAAGTTTTAACTTGGGTTACAATCGCTCAGGCCAATTGGCGTATTTGATTAATAAATAAGAAGAGACATTACAATGTGCAAAATCTTATGTTATTTGCCAAACACTTTTTATTTGTGAAAGGAACGCAAAGTATGACCGCATTGATAAAGCGAATTTATTTTGAATGGGTTTCAAGGCTTGACCCATTGTGGAGATCAAGAACGACCTTAACGGGCAGTTTGAGCCCGCTCGTACTCGAGCTTAATGAATCTGTGCATCGAGCATGAACGGACATGAAATATAAATTTTTTAAATAGTTTGTGGCGCCATTACTGATTATGATTATCGTTGTTATGATAAGTCTATTTTTCCTGTCTGCAAATGACGACATCCCCTCATCGTCGGCTACTGGCCAATTACGGTATTTTATTCCAGTATACCCTCGCATCAAATCTATTCAAAGCTAGTCATTCCGATATATATA